AGTAGCAGAAGTAGTAGTAGTAGTGGTAGTGGCAGAAGAAGTAGTAGTAGGAGGAGGAGGAGTAGTAGTAGTGGTAGTGGTAGTAGAAGTAGCAGGAGTAGCAGTAGTAGCAGCAGTGGCAGCAGCAGTAGTGGTAGTAGTCGTCGTCGTCGCGGTAGTAGTACTACTAGCACCACCACCACCACGACCACCAGCACCAGCACCAGCACCAGCACAACCCCCACCCCGCCATGACGACGACGACTACTACTACGACTACGGCGAAACCGGAGAAGGCAGTCCTTTTACTCTTGATCCTTCCTCTAGTCACTCCTGTCGGACCTGGATTCGAGTCTTGGAGATGCGCCACCACAACGGGAAGTACTTGCAGCCGCGAGTGCTGCTTGATCTTCTCGCCGCGGACAGCCCGCAAGGAATTCACAGTCGAGCTGATGGATCCAATGAAGGATGAATAGACACCCATTGCGAGCAGGATCACCCAGATGGCAAAAAACCTGCCAGCAAAGGAAATCATAAAGTCTTCATTAACAACACCTCGATCCAGAATCAGGGATCAAGCCTCAGGCGCCGTCAAACGAGCACCTACCCACACCTGGCCTCTCGATGCCGTTTTCAGGGGCGATATTGTTCGTCGAGGGTGTGAACTGCGTCAAAGCCTCAACTCAGAACACGCAGGAACACGCAAGTTTGCTACGCAAGGGTGACAGCGGAAGACTAGCACAGTTAAGCCAACAATCACATGTCTTACCTGTCGCGAATGGAAATTGAATCGGCCCTGCTCCCCTACTATCCCAACATCTTCCGTATGACTGGCTCCAGGCACCCAGTGGATCGAGCACACGTAGGATGTCCCAAAATCTGCCTGGACATGACGGTGAAACCATCGATTGTTGAAAAGATCACTCGAGCAACGGCTGCTGCATGTCTCCTCAGCACGAAGGTATTTCAACGAAGTGTCACCATCCCTCCAACCGTGCATGCTCAACTACCCCACAACGCCCTGGGCATAGATGGCAATGGCTTGACTCCGCCGGATTGAGTAACCTGCTGGAGGATTTGTCCCACTCAACCCTGACCCCCGCTCCAAGTGCGAGCAGGCTGCATCTTCGATTCCGATGCGATGAATCCATGTGTTGTCGCTGTCAGTCCTGAGGGTTTCGCTTGTGCCTTTTCGGGTGCCCTTCTCGGTACCTCGTCAAAGCTTCTTTCATGCCAGCAGCAGACTTAGAATTTGGAGGTCTGAAACAAGTTCATCAACAGAAGCTGTGGCAGCGCTGTTTTTCCCTCTCGCATAGCTGGCAGCTCTCTTGCGGATAGGGATTTATGGCTATGTGTGATAAAGGATTTCCTTGGCAGAATTTGAACCCCCCCCGCCCCCAAACGGTAAGCCCTTTACCCGTAACCTTTACCCCCCTAAACCCCTATGCCCTCAAGCCTTATATGTTCACGGCTGGTACGAAGAAGAGCGCAAGGCAGCTGTCGCGTTCGAGGCTTTACGGGCTGTTGGGAAACTCGGAGTTTGATCCCCAAGGGGCTGGTTCTTAGTGCTCTTTTCGAAGGTCCCGTAGAAGAGTTTTCAGGCCAACAACAATGGCTTACTACAGACTCTAGGACTTGAGGAACATGGTTTAGTTATCGCCCGGAAAAGCAGTGTAAGGGGGGGCTTCCGAGTCTCAATGCACGCCTTCCTTCTGCTTAACCCGGGCTCACTCTGCCATCTTCCAGAAATCGGGGTCAAGTCGTTCCTTAAATGGACTATAATTGACTACAGTGTGTAGGGCAGTGTAGGGCCTAGTATAGGGTTGAAGATTTCGGGGTTGACGACCTTTGGAGGCTCCTTCTTGTCCCTTCGGGTCTCGATGACACAAATCTCAAAATTTTCGGAGCGATAACAACCCCAAGAGCCCATGTACCTGCAAAATAAACACACACTGGAGGACACCTTTACGGCCAAAGCTTGTGCCTATGCTATAAAATAATAAGTACATGGAAATCCGAAAGATCGGAATCATTCGGGAGGTTGGGAAGCATCTCAGCTCCACCACACGATTGTTGAAAGGGTTGTCAGATGCCCTACGTGTCAAACCCCAAACACATGAGATGTTCGAAGCCTCACTCCATCCCAAATACCACTCCTTGAAACCGCACAACGGCACCGCCCGTGCACATCGGGGAGCTCTTCGGATATTCGCAAATTTGGACCAAGGCTCCCAGATCCAATGCCGAACCAGCAACATCCGATTATGTGGTTAATTGCCAGCATCATCAGTAGGGCGCCAACAATCTTCATGACCTCAAAGATGCGGTGCACTCAGTGGACATCCTTGCGACACGGGATTTGAGTTTCCGCAACGGGTGGGATTTCTGTTCCATGTGTGGTGAAAGGCCTTTCCGGCCCGAGATATTCAGCCAAGGAGCCATGAAGGCATAAGTTGATAAGAACCGACTTGCCACCAAGGAAAGCTCCCGCTGAAGCTTGGCCACTCGCACCAACCGAAACAGCCGAAGCAACCTGTGATGTCATGGGAAGGAAAATGAAGGAAAGAGCACAGGCTGCAGCTACGTGTCGCACCCTGCTTTGGAACAATATGTTTTGCTCTCCCAAGAAACCGAAGGGATCGCAAGAAGCGTGCGGATCTGAAAGCACCGTTGCTCTGGCCGCTCGACCTGCAAGTGATGGGCTGCATTCGGAGAGCTCTTCCTTTCTTCTGTGAACTATGTTGGTGGATGTTGGTGGTCGGTGGCAGACATCGAAAGGTCTAGGCATGCGAGGAAGGCGAACACAGTTTGCTGTGCATCTGAAGATCTATCAACACGTCTCAGGACAAACCTGTGAGTGAAAAGCCGTGACAAATGCGCAACTGTCAGCAAGCTCATGGCACCTCCGATTTTTAGAGAGTCGGGATGAAAGGACATTTCGCTATTGTTCTTGCCAAGAAGCATGCGTTCCAGAAGAATAAGCGCGACGTCAAGCAAGACCTTCCGTCTGTGTGAGGTTCACGTCCATTTTCTGGCTCGACTCTGATGAGGAATGCGTTGGAAGCCCTACCTTCAGCCTAGCGGTGGGTGCAGGAGCAAAGGAGGGGCCCACTGAGCATGCAGTCAAGCGCTACAACAATGCCTGCATAACTTACATGAATACTGGAAGTGATACATGGCAGCAAGGTGCGGCTGCAGCCAAGCAGCTATCAACAGGTCCACGGCCAGCCAGGAGCGCACATACAGGCTCCTGGGGCATGTTGAGGCACTGCCATGCGACTCGCTTTTTGCTCAGCACCCTCCATGTTTATGAATACTGTTTTTCCGGGGACGACATGGCGGGAAAGCAACTCAAGCCCCAGTGAGTAATCCCGTGTACGAACCAAAGGGCTTGAAACCAAACGACTTCAACACTTTGGCCCGAGGATGTCCTTAAGCCTCTGTGTAGCCAAGGCTCCACAGTTTTGACGGCCGCATCTCGAGAGATCCCCGCAGCTGCACGCCGAAGACAAGATGCAACGGAATGTCCATCGCCCTGAGAAGGAGAGACTTGAGCTGACACGAGGTGGGCATCTTCTGGGGTGTATCTGGGTGTCTTTGCAACCGGCGGAAGGCAGCACAACGAACAAGACTTTTAAGAATAATGTGGCCGGAGGAGACAAAGCGCGAAGCAGTTCACTCAAAGACTTATGTGCTCTTGCTGGCCACACAACCGCAAACACTGCCTCCCCTCGATCCTGCACCCTATTTCGTCGTCTCGCGATACTGCGTCGCCATTGGAAGCTGAAGGGCAATGTAGAATACCAAAGTAGATGAGGCAGCCTTGACGAAGAAGGCTCCCGGTTTTTGAAATCTGAAGAACCTAAAGAAATCCACACCCTCATATTATGAGCATCAGCCAATATGGCGATGCACTGGCTGCCCGAAAATGGCAGCGGGCCTGTACAGGCGCACGTTACACGTGCTGGTTACTGCAAATCGCACCAACCCCTCGTTCCCACAAACAGAGACGCGTTAAAGAAGTGGCATCTGCTGGATGCTCCCAGATCTCAAAGCTTGCTCCATCGGCCGCCGTTGGAGAATGTCAGCACCGTTTGCTGGCCCTCCTTCTTCATCCAGGCCTTCATGGGAAATCCACCCAATGTGACGTGCAATCCCAGCATCTTCTCACCTTCCTCAATCTCTCCCAGGAAGGGTTGGTTGCCGAAAGGTTCCTGCACGGACTTCACGGCGGACCCTGAAACCTTCAATTCGACAGGCGCCTGGACACCAGGAATCTTCCACTTGCCAGGGATGGCACTCTTGCCCTCAGCCGCGGTCATGGAACCAGCCGGGATGAGGTTGCCCAACTTCTCCCCGTCCTTGGAGACCGTGGTGAGACGAACATCACCGTCATCTCCCATTGCGGCAGAGGATTCGGCCTTGCTGACCCTCGGGCTCGGGCTGTGTAGCTCAACAAAGAATTGCGTTGGACGAGGGTGCAGTTTCGAGGAGGGACATGGGGTATCATGGGGTGATAATGACCCTTTCGCACCGTGTCACTCCTGTCCTGATCAGGCTAGGAGAAGAATGTGACTGATCATGAGTCACGAGTCCAGAAAGTCAGCGAGGTCACGCCCACAATATCCAGCACACGGATGAACCTTGAGGGACTTGCGCTCAGGGTGTGTTGCTGCCCCTGGTTCTGCCACCGACAGATTTCTGACAAAGTCGACCCTACAGAGATGAGGCGGCAACTCTGCAACGTTGAACATCTCCAAGGGTATGGTGATCAAATCCCAGATGATGAACCTTGCAGATCGAGCGTGCTCGCCAGCTATAAACAAATGACGATCATGCAGACAAGATCCGCTGTGGAAGTGGATTGAAGGTTTGGCTAGCGTTTAATTGGATCTTGCAAACTCTGCTGTCAGATCAGCGAAGGATCCAGCCCCTCGGGGGTTAAACCAACCGGGCAAATCGAGCAAGCGATGCACAACCGGAAGCGAACTCAGCCCGAAGACACGCTGGCTATAATCGCCCACACGAGCTGATGTCTGCCTCGGCTACATCTTGAAAGGTTTGGCCAGGGCGGAAGAGCATGGACTGCAGCTCTGCTGCCCGGCTTTTGGTCGGTAAGCGGCTGATGCGGGCAGGGATGTACATTGACTGACTTACACGTCTGGCACTGACCAGCCACATAAATTCCCATGCGACCTACCCTGCCATTTGTCTGGAACAGTTGCTGTGAGGTCCCACGACAAAGCGCTGGAGGAAGGAGGTGTCGGTGAATGCATCCTGGGGCGGTTGGGGAGCGACTTTTGAATTTGCTGGTGCGGGCACCATAAGCAGCTTTGGCCGAATCGCAAACAGTGTGCAAGCACTGCTTGAAGCATCAACCATGTCCCACCCCGTGGTCCCGAAATTACCTAGATGAAGCGCTCAACTTCGGAGTTTGAGCAAGAAGCATTGATCTTGAATGTCGACGACATCTCCCTGAGTGCCGCAATGTGAGATCTGGACCTTCCCAAACTCGGTGAACATGCCGAGACATTCGACAGCATGTGCAAAGGTGGCCGTATTGCTTCCTGCACGTGTTAGTTTCCATTTCCATTTATAAAGTTGTGCTCTTGCTCATAGGACAATCTCACTGCAGCTTGCCCAATGCTTCAAGAATCCGGATCAACTCATGCCGGCCTCTGGTAGGTGGCCTTTGTCTGCACCAAGGAGTGGCTCCTGAGGTTGATGCGCACGAAAGGCATCCCAAACAAGTAACCCCCGTTCAAGGCATCACTAATCGAGAAGCCCCGCGGCCCCACCATCCACTCAAGTAAAACATGTGGCCAAGGCTCCAGGACGGTCGCATCTTCAGCTCACACATTATGCCCGCCGTACTCCTCGAGAGTTGATATCGCATCACTCCAATTCGCGGTTCATCGGTCGAATGTGCCTTTGCCTGTGCGAATCTCAAAAAACTATTTGCTCCAAAAGTTACGTACGGCTTGGCATCAGTAGGACCGGAACGGACCGGAACACACTTTGCTGCAGCTTTTTGGCGAGTTCTGGTACAGTAATCTAGGTCAGCAAGGCCAGCCCAAGCATTCATAAAAGGTGAATTGTCAGAGATGTAAAGATAAGACTTTTTGTATTGTATCCATAGAAAAACCAACACCATGAAGTGGCACATGTATCAATGCCGCTTACCAGTGTTGGTCAACTAATTTGATTTCGTAAGTAGCTGAAGAATCATGTAAGACACACTGCAAGTCGAGACTCACGGGACATCAAATCATGTCCAAACAAATGCTGAACTATGCTGAACTACGGTCGCTCATGAACATCTCTGTAACCCCTTACAAAACCTCCCTAACCGAAGATCTGACCAGGTTAGGCATCTCGATGAAGAACTTTCTCCAAGACAATCGGCAGCAGCAGCGAGCATGAACCATGTGCCACATACAGCTTCAAGAGTACGATGTACTGCAGGCATGTCGGAATGATCAGTCCCGATCTCTGCATTTGCTGCGGCTGCGGCCATCGCGACACACAGGGAGCCTACAGTACCTGTTTCCCGTGTCCTCGGCTTTGGTGCTGGTGCATCGAATGCAGTCATGCAGCCGGCAGCCTCAATCCTTGGCATGGCGGAACTTCGGAACTGCACCAAGATGAAGCCAAATGCTTCGCGAGGGTTACGATGGCGGGCGGTCGGGTTTCATCTTTTGGCCTTCTGAAATCTCAAGGTCCCAAAATCTGCATGAAGATTTGAACCGCACCTACAAGGATGCACTGACGGCAGGTTTCACGTTTAGAGCTTTATGCTTGGCTCGCATAGCATTCCTTTTTCTGGACCTGAACGAAGCCCTCGTTGCATCCAAGTTGCAGCTTTGCGGTCAGAGTTTGCCAGCGCTCGCATTGCTTCAAGTCACTAGTGGCGATGTCCACGGCCAGCGAACTGTTGGACACAAGCTTGGAAACTTGGCCCGACGCGGCGCTCTCCTCCCGTTCCAACGCAGGATAGCCTCGAGCAATACATGCGCAGCAGAGATGCGGCAGTGTTGAATGGTAGGTTCCAGAGACCGGGAGCACATCCACTTTCGCTTTTACCTACATAGCATTGGCCTCGCTTAAGTTACGCACAGACCGACGGAGCTTGCATCCAGTGTGTAACAGATTCACTGCCTCTGCCTTGCACAGACTCGCTCAACACAAGCTGCCTGGCAAGGCAGGCATCGAAATCACTCGAGGCTGTGGATCTTCGTCGACCTCGAGGAAAGGACGAGAACCGAAATTGTGCGAAGGGGCGAGACTGAAGACGAATTCTCCCGGTAACAGAAGCTTGGCTTAGCACATGAAAGACTTGTGGGATCAACTCAATTTTCAGTGCAAGTGGCGCCCCGGAGCCGCGTCTGCGCAGATGCTAGCTGACGCTGCAACTTGTCGTTCTGGTCACCTGAACAATTCCATCGACAGTGGTCAGGAGAATGACGCGCACGTCGTTCAGAATTGCTAATATAGACGTACTATGACGTACTTGAGCTTTCCCGCTTGCCGGCAACATGGCAATGTGCTGTTCAATTTTGGCTCTTCACAAGCCTGCTCAAGAGTTTGTACATCCTAGGCAATTGTCCAATCTAACCTGCGGTCCTTGAGTTTTGGGAGCGTGGGCATTGTTACAGTACAGCTCGCTCCCTGAGCTTCTTTGGATTGGATTTGTTGGCACTGCGTTCAGTGGATGGCCGCAAGCTGAAACTGTGCTTAGAATTTACAAGATGAGCTCATGGAACAAGATGCAATGGCACAGATTAGCAAGGACACAGCGTGTGCAAGCAAAAGAACGTGCATTGTAGTTTTCACAACATATTGACGCTTTGTTGAGTGGGCAGTGGCAGTTCAGTTGCACTTCAGTCGCAGTTGCGCTTCAGTTGCATTGCACTTCCACTCATTGCGCCAGAATTGTGCAAACACTTGTTGCACTGCAGTTGCTATTGCACATTGGTTTCAGTTGCACTTCAGCACTTTGGTTCTAGTTGCACTTCAGTAGCGGGCACCTTCCACGAATAGCAACATTCAGAGATCCTGTGTTCATGTGTTTCGTCTAAGCGATATTTCAAGGTCCGTTCGTCCACTATTTAACACACATACGGATAGTCTTCAATCAGAAGAGATGAAGGAATACTGAGTATGAAACTTGTTGTTGTTTCAACCTTCGAAGACTATGCAACTCATACTGGTACTCACCTTTTGCTAGTTGATACCTGACTACTGAAAAATAAAGTCATAGAGTCATAAGCATGTTTATCATGTGTTCTAATCTCGGCTTATGAGTAGGAAGTATTTTCTATTAAAATAAACCGTCGTTTACATTGCAAGGTGTCCTACCATACAAACAGTAGTTGCTACCCCCTAAGACTTAAATGGTTACTCACTCCTCAACCGATTACGCATTTCATGTTTATTACCTAAGACTTAAATCAACCTCTAACGGATATCTTGTTGGCAATATTCGATTGGTTTAATATGGTGAGTCGTCGAGATACTGCTCTTACTATTGTCCTGGTCCAGGCCTCTTCAGCACTGCATTCCAAGAGCGCACATGTCTGTTAGTCTGTTTTGTTCTGCACGCCCGCTTTCTCTTCTGTGTCGGGGTCTTGGGGTGGTAAGAGCCTTTCTTGCATAGGGTGGCTTATTCTCTTGCATGGTTGGCGCCGTGACATGTACCTCCACCGAGCCAAGCGACGCAGTCTGCCCAATTCAGTCGCATGATGTTGGAGCAGGACCACTTGCAGTGACCGCAAGTGCTGGCTGAGGACCTGGGTATTTGACCCTGATGCGGGTCCTCACAAGCAAAGCAGAGCAAGCAGAAACAGAGAAACAGACAAGTCGGTGACATGTTGGAAGCCTTTGCACCAGCCGGAGTCCGAGCCCCTACTCTGAGCTGTGTCACATCTGCATAGGTCTCGCTCGGGATCTCGTCCCCGGCCCCATTCCTTTCTGTCGCATGGCGAGGAAGGCATGATTTTGGGAGCTGCAGGCTCTGATAAAGATGTCATTTGTGGCGGTGGAGGTTGGCCACTCGAACTTTAACTGTTTGGATGCCGTGCCCTTCTCCTTCTTCTGCAAAGAACGGGTTGGTTCAGTTTTTGGAGAAGAGCGATCAAGGAGGCAAGGAGGTTTCCCAATTCAGCCCGCATCCATCCAAGACTTTGCACGAAAGCTCTAAGCCTTCCCGTGAATTTGTCCCGAGGCTCGAGTCTGCCTCTCGCAGCATCGGTTCTTTCGGGATGTCGCCGTCGACGGCAGGACAGGTGAACATCAGGGCAGACAGAGACTACAGCCAGCTAGCAGTCATAATGTCCATGTGCTTGTCGTGATATCTGCTTACCCCATTTCTTGCTTCGCACGATAACACTGCTGCATGCCGGCAATATAGGCAATTCTGCGGTTCTTCCTATTTTCTGCGGCTGGGGTTGTTTCATCCATACGCGACGGCTTTGGGCAAAACGTGCACTGCAGGGCTCAGAGGACCTACTTTCGAGATTTTACTGATATCCTGCCAGTGCTAGGGGATATGCACTTCAAGATATGCAAATCTTGAGTGACAGATCATAGTCGACGCGCTGATTTTGCCAATGGCTCCATAGCTGTGATGCCGTCCTTTGCTTGCATCATGCAAACGGGCCAGGACCGGTGCTGCCCTAGCAACAGTTCTGGTCGAGTCACACTCCAGTATCTGAAGCTGGCTCTGACATACCGTCTGCAGTGCTCACCGAACAGCGCATCGGGCAGGAACTGCCATGCAGGAGGCATCCGCTACCACCAATGCTCACGCTTTGCTGGACATAGCCGCGCTGGGCTGCCAATACCTAGAGTCTGGATGGCCTAAGTCGCAAAGTCCGTACATTGCCTGCTTCGCGAGAGCCATGCATCGATGCAGGCCTTGGCCCAGCTGCAGAACATCTTCGGACCCTGTCCTTGCTGGACTAGTCTGCTACAAAATTCGCAGACATGCCCCATGCGTTCATGCAGATTCCAGTCACAAACAACTGAGGAAGCAGCCCAATGAAAGCAGTGCCCACAGGGCCTCTGTGCAAGTGCCGGGTTGCGTGGGGATATCGCGCCTACGTTTTTGCAGCTGTGACATATGGGAACTGCTCTCATGCGACGGTTTACTGCCAAACATTATGAACACCATGGTTTAGGAAAGATCTCAATGATGCTTTGTATCCGTAGGGCTCGCCAAAGACTGCTCCAGTTAGTTGAACCTCGCACCGACAGGCTTCACGTACCGCTTTTCTTGTTGATAGGCGAGAATGTAGGTCGGCCATCTTTGTGAAGCAGAGAGCCTTCTCGGGGAAATCGACAACGACTACCGGCTTACTCGGGCTTCTTGCCCTTGACCTACTCTTTCATCTGATTCTGCTGGAGCGGTGCTGGGGATGAATCACCACACAACCCACAGCCCCTCTCACCTGCATGAGGCTAAGACAGGCTACGGCCTCTGCAGGATCCCTTTCAGAATGATAGCTCTCTGTCGACCATAAGTCTCCGGCAGCTGTGCCAGCACCTGGTACGATGCAACGGACCGACCTAATTACCAACAAATAGTGGCAAACTTGCACGATGGCCGAAATCAGGCAAAACAACAACACAAACACCTACACGCACGCTAATTGACAGACTGACTGGCGAAGGTGCTTGCGTCAGCATCTTAAGAACGGCACGGCACCACCTTGGAATTCTGCGAAGCAGATGGGACCTGAGCTTGGCATAGCTGGTCTCTTTGCTGCAAGGTAACTCGCTCCAATACTTTCGGTCTGACTGACTTGGCTTATGTCGTCCACGACAATTGAACAGGCAAGCGATAGCGGCGAAACTGCTCCATGGATACCCAAACTCCTCAAAACGGCAACACCGGAGCTGTGTTGGAGCCGCTGTGCCTTGGGTCTGAGTACCTGGTTAAGCACGACCTCACGGGACGGCTCGGAGCCCTTAGATAGTAGCATCCGAAAAGAAGCTCTCGGTGTCTGAAACGAGATGCAGCAAGCCGGGAATCGGGAGAAAGTTGAGAAGGCACTGAATCCAACCGGTTGGCCTGAGGTTCCCTTCATTCATAACCGACATTCGAGTCGCATGGGCCTGTACCTGGACATGTGAACTACCAGATGAAGAATACAGGATTTCTATAGCCCGCACGTGAGCTGACTCCCTCGACTCCGTAGTGCCCCTTGGTTTTGAATGGTGTCCAGCATTTGGCGCAACTTCTGGCAGGGATCTTATGTGAGCGCTCGGACCGTCGGTCTGTTTTGGGCTTTGCAGCCAACCAGCACTCGAACACGCAGTACTCAAGCATTGGCGTCCGGGCGCAAGCCCGTTCAAGCGATGAGAACTGGACAAACGGCAGACACGAGAGTAAACCATGGAATCTTGATTACATGATAGAGCAAGTCTCGTTTGCCGGTTCCGGTAAATAGAACAAGCAAGTCTGCTGTGGCTGCACAGAATCAGTTGCCATGGTCGAGAGTCGGCTTGCAACATCCCATCCTACCTCCAATTTAAAGAGACCTATGCATTCCTGAGCAAGACTTCAGCGGGTGCTGTCCAGCCGGTTTTCAGCCAGAGCGGTGAATTTGAATGACATTTGGGTTCTGTGAGAGCTACTAGCCGCTCAGCTTCTCTTGTACCACATTGAAGTCTCTGGCATAGAACCCGGTGTGAAGCGTCAGTAGCACCGCTCAGCAGCTCAGAATCTCTCGACTTCGAATGTCCAAACTCCCGTCAAGCAGTCGTAGTCGATAAATGTGCAGGCACTTTTCTCTTCGGTCATCTTTTTGATCTTGACCTGACATACATGCATGTGCCCCATGAAAGCAATCCGCAACTGCAAGCAACCACGCGCAAGACAGGAAGAGCAATTTCCTCTTCGCCAGCTTCCATTCGTCAATAGTATCTTATTATGACCGATTCGCCTCGGAGAGTTTTCATGCCACCTCTGCCAGCAAACCCAGGCAGTGTGCAGTGCAGTGTGCTGTTTCTATCTCGCCTTGTAGTCCGCCAGCGCCTGCTCGTCCTTTACATGTCCTCCTCAAAAATGCAGGGCTGGTGTTTACATGCTAGCTGTGGCTAACCACATGAATTTATGAACTCGTGCTGGGCTCTTGCAGAAATTCTCAAAGATCATGAAGGAAGAAATGCTGCGAACTCTGCGGCAGCACAGAAGTGCGTGGCAAATCACCATCGCACAAAACATGAAGTTTGCCAGGAGCGAATACAGAGAGTGCAGCAACTATGCCACATGTTGCGTCTTCTCGGAAAGCTTAGGAACAACTAGGAAATCTGCCGAGTCCATTGGAATTCGACAGAGGCCTGGAGGAAAGCACTGGTACATCGTCACGGTCGCGTGCTTGTTCAGGCCCTCGCCAGGTGGGGGCTTCTTGGCCGGATCCGGATAAACCAGAACCTGAGCTGTCAAAGCCGTCTGGGACCGCTCTACGAGATTGAAGTATCGGTACGGGTAGTCCAAGCTCTGGCAACCGGGCGGCGTAGCCGCGTTTAAGCACCACCGTCTGTGCAATGTCCAGGTCCCGGCAGTCTGTAACGCCATGGAACACCTCTCTTTAAGCAGAGAGCGGCTTGTTGGCTGGTGGTAGAAGCCAGAATGCCAACCTGCCCTGGAAGCATCTGCTACGATCGCGTGAAGTGTCGGGGGCATGACGCTTCCCGACCGAATAGTTCGTTGAATCTTCAAGTTGCTGAAGTCGGAATCAGTCGGAAGGGGCGAAATCCACCCTGGGCCAATTCTGTCCAAGCCGCGACAGACCCGATGTCCGGTTTCGTCACGGTCAGGTCATACACTTCCGCCAACTCCTGATGTGATACTGCATTATGCCGCTTACAATATCAGATCGTGATTTATGAGAACGACGCAATTGGTACATCTGCGAAGACGGTGTTGAGCCATGTTGACCTACCAGTAGGAGACATACCTCCGTGTTCAACTACATCGCAGATTTTTCAGAGGCAAGGTGCTTCGCTGCTCATCTGCGACAGATCTGGCTCCACGATTAATTTCGAGTGGTCCATGACAGGCCGCGGCGTGCTGTTCTCCGCTTGCGGCTTGTCCGTCGTCTCCGCAATCCTCAGCCGGAGCAAACCACCACCCGACAAGACTCCAGAGTAGCGCGAAGGTGCACAGAACATCTCTGGTTCCCAGAGCCTGAGGGATCGTTGATTCGCAGACGGCATCAATGTTTGTGCTTGGAGCTAACGGTTGAAACCGGCAGGATGAACGGCAGTTCAAAGACCACCTTGTGCCAAATGTCCGCGGTTCAGTGCTCGCTGGATCTGGTTGATCTTGCGGCCGACAAAGGAAAGAGTACAGACCTAAGCGGCTTGGGGGTGTTGTGCTGCTGGGCCTGAGCATGGCGAAGCCACCGTGTCGGCCAACAAGAAGCTTCAATTGCAGAGAGAGGGCGAGAACGCTTCCCAAGATGAAGCTGAGCGGTGCTCAAACCCTCTCTTCAATCCTTATAAGCTAGCAAACCCTTGCACGTTTACGTGCGCGCAGCTTCCGCGGGGCCAACTGTCCCTTATGCGCGGCCCGTTGAGTCTGCTTCAATTTAAGCCTTTTGGCTGGTCGTCTGATCTGTGGTTACTACAAGTAGTAGTACTGGCAACAGTAGCAGAATAGTAGTAGCAGCAGCAGTAGCAATAGCAGTAGCAGTAGGA